GGTAGATACAGGTAAATACCTGTAAAATGTTGACTACATGGACAAATGACTTGTACTAATTATTTATTTCATCCCTATATATATGTATTTATGTATTTATGTAAATACACTTGTAGTTATATGCTTTCCATTATTTGTTTTTAGCTTTTTGATTATTAATTGCCAAGCATGACAGAGAACTTGTTAATTTTCTTTTATTTTTCAATGCAGTAAACATGTTTTGTTCGTTGTTAAATTCTCCTAGTCATTATACAGAATATTTCATTGTATTCATATTTTCCAGGTCTTTAATTTGTGTAATATTATTGATACAATGTGTGTGTAGGAGACCATGGAGCTGGTGTACAATAAGTCCAAACCCGTGGCGGTGACAGGCATGGCTTTCCCCACAGGAGATGTTAACAACTACGTGGTGGGGAGTGAGGAGGGGACTGTCTACACAGCATCCAGACATGGCAGGTTGGTGACTTGTTGCTTCATGACTTTGTGCAGAACTTTCCCTGAATTAATAAGAAAGTGCTAAAGTTTATTAAAAACTTTAAAAAAAAACATTTAGATATAGATTTTTTTCACCTTCTCAATTAAGGTAAATTCAAAATGTTTTTCAGGATTTTTTTTTAGTAATTTAAGACGTTTCATCATCTTGCTCTTTCACTGTTCTATCGTTATCGTCACGGTAAACAACAAACAAACGCTGAGGACCGAAGTTTTAAAGCTCCTTCTTGATTTATCCTTCCCCAGTAAAGCAGGCATCTGTGAAATATTTGAGGGGCACCAGGGGCCCGTGACGGGCATCAGCTGCCACGGCGCGGTGGGCACCGTAGACTTCTCCCACCTCTTCATCACATCCTCCTTCGACTGGACCGTCAAACTCTGGAGCACCAAGGTATGAGGGTGTGTGTGTGTGTGTGTATGCGTGAGGGAGAAAGGGAACAGATGTGTGGGGGGTTGATTGTGGCCTCAGAAAGGTTACAAAGAGGGACCCCTGAGAGAAGGAAGGGAGTCGAGTACTTTAGATGAGTAACTAGTTGAAAATCAGTCCTTCTCTTGGTGTGTGTGTATCTGTGTGTGTTAGTGTGTGTTGGAGTAAAGCTCAGTAAAATATGTTGTTGCGTTCATACACTGTAGGTGTGTTGTGAAATTATTCATTTGAAACTCGTGACTCTGATGATTACAACCGGAACTGGCGTTTTCCTGCACAGCTCCGCGCTGCACCGAGAAACTTCTTATTCATCAACTTTTCTTCTGTTTATCAGGGGAAAAAGTGACGTACTTCTGTTAAACGATGGACTCAATCTAAAGTTGTTTCCGCAAGGAGGATGGTTGGCATGACCCCTCACCAATGCACCATCATTAAACACCTGTATTATCTAAAAGCCTTGAGGTAAACAAGGAAAWACAGACATCTCAACCAAATACTCACCTTAAAGCGTCAGAAGAATTTGAAAAATTTTAAAAATCTGCCATCACACACTCATACAGGTTTTTTTTTAACAAAAGCTACTGTAGTAATCTGTAAATGGACATTTTATATAGCATGCAGAAATATTACAAAAGTTTAAAATTTGTAGTAAAATGAACACAGCATCTTAAAAAATTAACAAAGAGGGAAAATACTCAATGAGCTTCAGCTAATTAATAATGCAGTCTCATCTCAAACTGGAAAAGAGGGGTGGGGGACACTCCAAGTGGTCCACATGTGGGTCTGCAACATGTGGCTGTAAATTATATAATGTTAGAGCACACTGCCCCAGTTTTCTAATCTGTCAAGTCGGGGGACAGCTTTTAGAGTTTTCAGTTAAATCAATTAAAAGACATGAATTGAAAAAGGAAAAAATAAATCCATTTGGACACAGACAGGTGGCCTAAGTTTGGGAAATTGAAGTTATATCTTATGTAACACAAACTGTGGTGGTCTTTGAGAATCTGTTGCGTTTTGACCTGGTGGTTATTTATACACAGTTTGAGTGGGTTTTCCTTTAAATAAATGTATAATAGCTCATTTAAATGTGAACAAACAGCATCAGAGCAGAGACGCTGTGTGGTTCGCYGCCAAGTTTGACTTGCAAAGTTTTTTTTTTCTTTATATTTGTGTTTTTTGCAATGGCTTTGTGAAATAAATACGTAAATACACAAAATCCAAAACTGCAGTTGCAAAAGATGCACAATCTGTCTTTTTGGGAAGTAAGTTATTTTTACATACTTTACACACTTTATGCTTTTTTAGAAAGCTTTCACACCTGATATTTACAACACCATAACAAGTACTTTTATTCTTCTAGGAAACKATACTGTAATAAAAAGGAAAATCCAACTAAAATATCTTTACCTCTACCAAGTATTTAATCAGGGACAGTAAAAACATACAGCGGGTAAAATAAGTATTGAACACATTACCATATTTCTCAGTAAATGTATTACTAGAGTGTGGAATGGCACAGGGAAAAAGTATTGAACACACTTACTGAAATTTATCTAATACTTTGTACAAARGCCYTTGTTGTCAATGACAGCTTCAAGACGCCTCCTGTATGGAGAAACTAGCGGCATGCATTGCTCAGGTATGATTTTGGCCCATTCTTCCACACAAACAGTCTTCAAATCTTGAAGGTTTCGTGGACCTCTTCTATGAACTCTGATCTTTAGTTCTTTCCATAGATTTTCTGTTGGATTCAGGTCAGGTGACTCGCTGGGCCATTCCAGCAGCTTTAGTTTCTTTCTCTGAAACCAACTGAGAGTTTCCTTGGCTTTGTGTTTGGGCTCATTGTCTTGCTGAAATGTCCAGCCACGTTTCATCTTCATCATCCTGGTAGATGGAAGCAGATTTTTATCAAGAATGTCTCTGAACATTTTTCCATTCATCCTTCCTTCAATTATTTGAAGTTTGCCAGTACCATATGCTGAAAAACAGCCCCACACCATGATGTTCCCACCTCCAAACTTCACTGTTGGTATGGTGTTTTTGGGCTGATGTGCAGTGCCATTTGACCTCCAAACATGATGTGTATTCTGGCATCCAAACAGTTCAATGTTGGTCTCATCTGACCAGACTATATTCTCCCAGTATTACACAGGCTTGTTTAAATGTTGTGCTGCAAACTTTAAAGGAGCTTCAACATGCTGTTTCTTCAGCAGTGGAGTCTTGTGTGGTGAGCGTGCATACAGGCCATGGTGGTTCAGTGCATTACTTATTGTTTTCTTTGAAACAATCATACCTGCTAATTCCAGGTCTTTCTGAAGCTCTCCACAAGTGGTCCTTGGCTCTTGGACAACTCTTCTGATAATTCTTTTCACTCCTCTGTCAGAAATCTTGTGAGGAGCACCTGGTCGTGGTCGGTTTATGGTGAAATGATGTTCTTTCTACTTCTGAATTATGGCCCCAACAGTGCTCACTGGAACCTTCAGAAGTTTAGACATTTTTCTGTAACTGATGCCATCATTATGCTTTGCAACAATAAGGTTGTGAAGGTCTTGAGAGAGCTCTTTACTTTTACCCATCATCAGATGGTTCTTGTGTGATACCTGGCCATCAGTTGGGTCTGAACCAGCTGATATTAATTTGCACTGACAAGGGACAGGCTTGCTTTCTCATTACTGAGTGAGTTCAGCTGGTGTCTTGGCTTTCCATGCCTTTTTACACCTCCCTTTCTTCATGTGTTCAAYWYTTTYYCYST